ATATTCTGGACTGGATTAATCATTCTTTGCTGTCTTCAGGAGTCAATCGCATTCAAGGAACACAACCATGTATCAGCTGTATAGTATGTTTTCTTCTTCTACTCTTGTTCTAAGTAGGATAGAGATTAGTGTTGCTTACTGTTTCTTCACTGCAGATACACAAGGAGAAGTGCCAAGCTCTTCTAGAATTTTTAACCCCCGAGGATGCTTCTGCTGCACTTTCTTTTGATGGCAGATCCTTCTGTGGTTCTATTCTTAAAATCAGGCGGCCAAAAGACTTCGTCGAAGTGGCTGTAAGAATATTACCATGAGATTCTTTATAGATTTGTGCTGGTCTTTTGCACTGGCCTTTTGTTATTTGCTTTTTCTTAGTGATATCATGAGAGACGTGTGGGACAATGATGGGTTCTTGCATATTATTTTATGTAATATGTTATCTGATATGCAGTCTATCTAAATTTCACTGTGTTGCAATCTCCGAACCCCCACCCAAAAGTAAAATCAGTCTGTTGGGCTGGATTTTCTTACTTCCCGCTGCATTATGAGATGTCTTGGTGTGTCATCTTTTTTGTGCTACCATTTACCCTGAAGCTTCAATCTATATTATAGAGTTGTCATGTTTCATATCCTTGACTAGTAAACGTTTCGTTTCAACTTTTTCCTTCTATAGCTTTTGAAAATATATGAACAACAATTCAATGCTAGGGAGTTGCATTGTCAAGTTGTTCTACTTCTCTATATGGCTTAACAATTAAGGAGGTAAGGGGAAGGTAGCTGAGAAACAGTTACCCGATAGATCGACTTTAATATGATTGGGTTCTTGGTTGAAAAATAGCTACTTCTTTAGGTCCTTTTTGTTTCAATAAAGCAAGCTTGTTACTTTCGGTTGAAACGTGACAACTCATTGTCATTTGGGTAGTTGGGTTAAATTTTCTGCCTGTTCAAAGTGATTTAACTAAGAAAAGTATTGAATGCGGGTGGCCCCAAAACAAGTTGGGTCAAAAGTGATTTGTGTAAAAATTTGGTTGCCAGTGCTGGGTTAAAAGCGGTTTGGGTTGTAGTTCGGTTGCCATTTTAATCATATAGTGGTGACCATTGATATAGAGTATAGACTTTGCTGATGAAAGTTTGTTCAAGGTTACTTGGCGGATTTCCTGAAAAGTCTTTGATAATGGGATTACCAGGAAACAATATGCCTTTTCTATCGACTGTAATTCTCCATATGAGGTTGTGAAATGTCAGATGTCGGGTCCTTGGGCTACTTTATAAAATGGTACATCGCATTTCAAACCCCCCCCCACACTTTTTGTGAAATGGGTTGTGTACTTATTCTTCATCTTAATGTTCAGTTCTAAAATGGATACAGACTATGCGTTTGTGGTGGGTTGAAACAAATTTATGTTTAGTTAAATGAATCTGATTTTCCTATTCTCTTTCCTTCCTTTCTTTATCATGGGGTATTTGGAGTGATTAGTTGCATGGATTGTGACTTTTGTTCGGCGAGGGATGTTAAGTATGATGGTCAATTTGCTGTTCTTGTCCCAGCAATACATACTACTCAAAATCTATTCTTCACCTGCATCAAAGAATAAGTACATAGACAATAAACAAAATTCTCCGGTAAATGTGTTCTTGCAGGTAAAAAACAAGGTGTCCATCTTTATCATAAAAAAGTCAAGGTCTTCATCTAGTCAAAGAGTAGGACGCATGAAGAGGTTAGACTTGTCCTCAATGCTTGAATGATTGTTCAGTGTGGAAGATAACCTCTGTGAACGGGACACCAATCTCATAGAGTCCCTTAGCATTTGTTAGCAGCAATATAGGCACCAAGATTAGCAGCAACATAGGCACCAAAATTTAGTATAGCATATGCTTAAGATGTTATTGATATGAAATCTTTCTGATCTTCTCTAATAGTACCCTCAATATCTTTCACCTCCTATATCAGAGCAGGGGAGGCTGCACGTCATTTGATCATCCGTTTAACTGGATATTGGAGGATGATGATGGTGGTTGCCACTGCATAAGTGCAAAAAGGATGATATATAGTTGAGTTATATCAAATGAAGTGATAATAAAATATGGAAATTGTGGTAGGGCAGTTTTGTTAGTATAGAACATTGCCTGCATGTTGGATCTGCAGCTTCCTTGTTCTCTTATATTTCTTCCACATGAAAATCAAGTCTTGTCTCAGTAACTTCTTGCTCTGTATTTTCTACATTTTGTCAATGCATCAAACTGTGTATTTAAGTAGTAGGAAGATGGTGCTTCCTCTTTACGTTGAAACAGTGCTTTATTCTGCTTTTATATGCAGTTTCTGAGGTATATTGTGGTCATTATTCATGTAGCAGGTTTTCAGACAGTTGCTATTTTCATGCAGACTGGTGTTCCTCAGAAGTCGGTTGCTGCAGCTGACAGGATAGACAACATTNCAGGATAGACAACACTGTGGAGGATTCTCCTTATAAGGTATGCATCTGAAATAACACAAAGGATTTGACCTTTAAACCTGCCTGTCGGAACTGGAAGCGGCATACACTTATGCCATGTGTTGTCCTTGTACTTGGAATGCCTATCGTCCTTTCCTTGTGATAAATATGAATCTCCTATTTGTTTCATGCTATTAGTAAGTTTCTTGTCAGTTTCAGTTTGTTTGATCTCTCTGATTTAGCAGGACTACTTAAGAGTTGAAAAATAGCTATTACTGTATATTAAGAGTTTACTTTTCATTAGCTTGAGCTCTTGTGTATTGTAGTTAGGTGTTTTAAAATATAATGTAGGAAAGCCAGTTTTTTTGTATGTTAGCTTAAATTTTGAGAAAGGAATGAAATTAACTTTTGAAGGGTAAGTAAGTCCTTTATTGCGGTTACTTTTTTTTTCTTTTTTTTTTGCGCGGTACTTTGGTGTAAACAAGAAACAATGTCTTGTCTAGATGATTTCTAACTGTATTACGAAAATGATGTGTACGGCAGCAAATTGGTTTAATATCAAATGCTTACCTTGACCCCCACCCCACCCCACCCAAAAAAAGGGTAATAGATACGGAAGAAAGCCTATGTTCTAGGAAACTGGGATACACATTTTGATGACCTAACGATCAGGATAGGAACAATAGCTTTGAGAGTTGAGACTATTATACCAATAATTTCTTCTGTGCGCTGCACTTTTATGTATCTTGTATACGAGACTCGCATAGACAGAAAGCAATGTTCCAGCTGCTCTATGCTACTTCACAACACAGGAATCTCAAGTGGCGCAATTATATATTGGATTGTGAGGTTATAGATTATGATATCGGCTTTCAATATTCATAAGGTGTTGATGTATGAAAGTTTCCTAACTGTTAGATTAGATGCAAAGCTTCTCATTTGAATCCTGTGGGATTGTGAGGACGTTACATTTGAATTGCTTTACTTTCTTTGTTGGCCTTTGCCTCAACTCTTTGACAGGTCATATTTGTGAACTTCAGAATTCTTTTGTTTAATTTGGCTTCCACAAACGAGTTCTTCGAAATTTGACCATTTTGTATTTTCAATCTGATTAATGTTTTTTCAGATTTTCAAGTCTGTTTCATTCCTGTTGTTTCCTTTCCCTTTCAGTAACAAGTTTTTATACACGTTGCAGGTTTTTGTTGGTGGAATTTCAAGAACTATTTCATCGGAGATGGTAAGGCCAAATAATGTCTCAAAACCTTTCCTTAATTAAAAAGAAAGAACAATGGAATATCGGGCTTTCCAGTGAATTTGATCTTATCTGATGCTATTTCAGCTTATGGAGATTGCTAAAGCTTTTGGACCTTTGAAAGCCTACCATTTCAGTATGAATTCAGATATCAATGAACCTTGTGCATTTCTTGAGGTACTCTCGGATTATTGGATACATCTTTCTTATATTAAATTAAGTGTCCTTTTCTTTTCTGAAATATTCTTTCCTTATGGCAAAGGTAGCTTTTACACAACAAGCGGAGTCTTAATTCTGGCTAAGATTATTTTTCGTTGGAGTGAATTATTGGAAGTACCGAGTGGTAGAAAAAACGAGCAAATTATCATCTTACTAGAAGTTAGATCTTATGCCTCTTCAACAATCTTCTTTGGGTGGAAGAGTGAATGAACAAAAAGTAGTTCTTTTTACATGTTTAAAAAGTTGGTGGTCCTTTCTGCTTGCTTTTCTTTCTATCTTGCCAAACAAAATGACTTACCACTGTTAGCATGTAAAGGCATGCTATCCTCTTTGAACTCCTTTTTTTATTTTAATTTTTGTCTTCTAATTCTGCTACTTTGCTTCTCTAAAGGTAGGACGAGTAAGTAAATTTTTTGACAGACAAGCGAAAACTCTTACCAGCTGACATACAGTTGCTCTAGAACAACCAATACTGATTCAGATCCAGGTGTAGGCTTACTGATTAATTCGATCAATGTGTGCCAAATATATCATCCTTTACACGCCAATAAAAAAAAAGTATCATCCTTTACATGAAAATAAATCAAAAAGAGTAGAGGAGCTTTTAACTATTCATATCAAATTTTCTAGCCATCAGACCTCTTTAATTCCTTTCCTTCCCAATAATCTGCAGAGGACACTGCAGATCACTTTTCACGCTCTCTTCGTCCCTCTCAAGATTTGAGAATGAATGACCCTAGATCTCTAGCTTTTCAATTTTACAAGAGATGTTTAATGCTTTGGAGAATAGTGCTGCTTGTGTCAATGAGTGAGGGAAGAAATGATTCCAATGAATAAAAAATTCTTTTAGTGCCAAAAGTGACTTGCCATACTTGATGCACCGCACAAATTTCTTATATGCTTGACCTCATTTTCATTGCATGTAGAGTATTCCTTTTATAGTATTTTATGACCATGCTTTGAATTGTGGATTGCTATTGCTTAAATTTGTTGAGCTAGATACCTTGGTTTGTTACATCTTGAGCCTCTGTCCCTTTGTATTTCTCCTTGACTCAAGTGCCGTGAACTCTCAAGTCTTCTCCAAGTTCAACTCTTGCGTCTTTTATTGATCTTAAAGTAATTATTTCAACCATTTCAGTATGTTGACCATTCAGTTACTCTTAAAGCTTGTGCTGGTCTTAATGGTATGAAGTTGGGTGGAAAAGTGTTAACTGTTGTTCAAGCTGTCCCAGATACTGTTTTACTGGTACTCTCTCAAGTCCTCTTATCAAGAAATTTTGGCTTTAGGTACAATTTTTAATCTATTCTTGGCAATACAAATTTGACCAAAAGATACACATAATACTCAGGACAAAGATGAAAATACACCTTTATACCGGATTCCCCAGCATGCAAAGCCACTTCTGGAGAAGCCCACGGAAGTTCTGAAGCTGAAAAATCTGGTATGTCTGTTTTTTAATCTTGGTGTAGTTTGAATTTTATTTTCAATAAGAAAAAAAAAATACTCTGTTATGCCAGTAAAAATGTTGATACTATTAGAAATTGTAGAGAACTTCTAGTGCTAGAGAAACTAAAATTTTATAACATTGTAATGGAGACGGGCTTAAATGGAGCTACATGTAAAATGAGTCAGATGGCCAACTCCAATTTGCTCGGTATTGAGACGTGGTTTTGTTTCCATATATTACTGGAATTATATTTCTTAGATGTGGCAAATCCACTTATCAGGGGGTTACTAGATTTTTTTCCTCTAATTGTTTTGTCCTGTCCAGGTGGATGCAAATGTACTCATTTTTTTGTCTGAAGCAGAAGTTGAAGAGTTATTGGAAGACATCAGATTGGAGTGTGCCAGGTCATTTATGAAAAGTCATTTTTTCTTAAATGTCATTGCTTCTATTCTCCTTGTCAATTCATCACTGATCTGGAAAATGTTCTTCTGATGCTGTAGGTTTGGCACTGTTAAATCAATTAATGTTGTAAAGCAAAGTCAATGCTCTCTCACATCTGATCCTGCTGCTATGGACACTAGTCCTACTTTGAATGAGGACGATATGGAGTTTGCTAAAGAGTGTGACCGAAATGATCCATCCCCAAAGAGTTCTGATCACGAGTTGGAAGTTGGTGGGTCACACCTCCCTAACAGTGATGAAGAACCCATGGAAACCAATAGCGCTGAGGAAGCTGAAAGATGTGCTGATGGTAAAACTCAGATGTCAGAACCTTTAAAAGGTGACTCCGAAGAGGAGGCTGGAGATGTCGATGATGCTTTGGCCGCTGATGGTAAAACTCAGATGTCAGAACCTTTAAAAGGTGACTCCAAAGAGGAGGCTGGAGATGCCGATGATGCTTCGGCTGGTGGCAGCCATTCCAATGACGGACCTCATGAGGAGGTAATAAAAGACGACACTTCTGACCCTCTACCCAATGATGGTAATGTGTCTGATCGAGGGACAAGCTGCCAAGAAAATTCTGAGGTTACTCGTGGAATCTCTCCAAATGAAAAGAATACTACTAGAGTTTTGGAAAGGAAAGATGAAGATTCTAATTCTAGTCCAGTTGAACATCTTGAGATAAATGATCAATCACCAGTTAAGGAGGCAATGAAATCAGAGGAAGACAATGGAAATGTAGATGGAGCTTTTGAACCAGAATTCTCGTCGAAAGAAGAGTTGGATGCTCGAGAGAAACTTGAGGAAAAGACTGAAATTTCTGTTAATGATGTGTTTGAGCCCGGCTGTGTACTTGTGGAGTTTAGAAGAGCAGAAGCTGCATGCATGGCTGCTCATTGTTTACATGGGCGACTGTTTGATGATCGGACAGTGACTGTGGAGTATGTTCCCCTTGATCTCTATCGTACAAAGTTTACTAAACAAAACTAATTCCTTTTGGTCAATTCAATGCCTTATTTCCTGCAGATCTCCCCAAACTTGAACGGCATTAACATACGATTTGCCTATGCTATTCACTTATCTATCAGATCCTTACCTGAATGTTCACAATTTTTACCATATTGAGATGCCTTAGTTAACCTTTTGCTAGTGCGAGAGTTGTAGCAAATTTTCTGTATACCAGACTTGGAGCGGAATACATGTTTTCTCCAAGATGTAGAACAGGATTTAAGGATTCTTGTCCAAGAAATGAGCAATTGTAATGCGTTAAATTGTCGTTAAAGTTACAGCTTTATTTTTATGGTTGCAACATGTTGCCCACCATTTTGGATAGAGGAACACAGTCCTTTGTCATCTTGGAATTACATGCCTTATGATGAGGGGTTAGCCATCACGGCTATTGACTCTATGTTCTTGATGATGTTGATCAGAGACTCAGTTGGCCAGTCCACGTTAAGGGGTTGTTTGGTAGAGATAAGAATGTTAAATTCTGGTATAAAATTCTGGTATCTTCTCTTATCAATCTTTGTATTACTAATATAGTATCTTACAGCTAGTATAATTTTCTTTTGCAGTATTGAACTTTGCATTATTTATGCATTAATGGTGTAAATGTTTTTACACAATCAAGCTACTTATTATGTAATTAGAGGAAAGTCTCTTGATAAGAATTAATTGGTAATTCTCTAAAGATGGTAACTAAGTTGCTATCAAGTTAAAATTCATGGATAGTGTAAAACGATATTTCCCGTCAAATATATATAACTTAAACTCATTAACAAAATTTAAACCTGTTAGAAATAGGATTAATTTTTCCTTATTTCAGGGTAAAGTTCTAATTTCAATTTAAGGACTCAAAAGTATGTACTACGTTGAAAAGAGAAGCTATGTTTCATATAGTTTTTGTCTTAAGACTTATAATATATGTGACCTCTGCATCTTTTCTTATTTGGTAGGAGTATAGAACCATTAACGACCCCACCCGCTCTTCTTTTTTTCTTCTTTTCCCCCACTATTTCTAGAGAAAAAAAGAAGCTGCAATATTGTCTGCTGATAGCGGAGATGGAGTCGGTATTTGAAATTTATGGATATGGAATTATGGTCCATTTAAGTTATTGACTTTTAAATTTCTTAAGACAAATATAGGATTTGAATCAAATTTATCGGATTCGGCCGGAAGCGTACCTAAGACACTAGCCCCCATGTTATTTGTGCCAACACTTGCTTCAACTTTCATCATCCAAAACATGTACAGTTTTGCAGTTGTTACCGTTAGTTGATAGCTTTTATTTGCCATATTTAACAGCAGGCAAAGATCTTTCTGTGAAACCGATGCAAGAAATTCCAAATAAGGGAAGTTTTTTGACTCCAAGAAAATAGACGAGTACTAGATTCTTGTACATCACGAGACCAACATTGAGTTTTGAGTTTGCAGAAGCTGAACTTCTAGACTTTTGTTACAATCTTAAATCTGCTATATTCTTACACCTCGTGCCAGTTCTTATATATACATCATTTGTTTCAAACGACTAATGATAATGAGGATTACGAATTATTCTACGCAACTTGAATAGTCAGTTTTTGAGCTATATATGAACTATATCAATGTTTTATTTTCCTTGGGGTGTTATATTGGTCATTACCAGATTACTGTCCTGAATCCAAAATAGTTCCAACTTAGGAATTTTTACCTCTTGTAGCAAAGGTTGATACCTTATTTATTTTAAATAAACACCTTTTTAAAAAATTATATTCCATAGCTACCTTTTGATTTTTATAGCCAAATAATTATTTATGGTCATCTCCTACCTTTAAGCCGTAAAATACGCTTTGATTTATTTCTCTCTCTCATTCTTTCAGATTTTTCTCCACCCTCTCTCTCCACGAATACAACCATGATTGGTTTATTCAAGGTTTTATTGATTTCTCCGGTAAAGATCCTCAATGGAATATGGCGGCACCGGAGGTGGTTTACCTTCGGCGGCGGCGGCGATGCCTCTGAAACTCACCGGAAAAAGAAACGTTTCCATCGGCACACAGCGCACCAAATTCAAAGGCTTGAAGCGCAAGATACTGCAATTTCAGAAACACAATATGTGCCAATACGTCCAATAGTGGCCTTTAAACATTTGGATCAGAAGATAAAGAATAAATTGGGACTATCAATTAAAATTTCGTATAGCTATGTTTAGTGGTTGAAGAGTCTGTTTAGAAATCAATGTCTTATGTTTCGTATGAATATCAAAATCTGACATAAGGTAAATTGGGGCTGACAATGGAGGTTCGAAATCTAATATCGACGAGACGACATTAGGGTTATTCTTGAACAAAGACGACGGAGTTTGGGGTTGAGCAACTTGAAGAGTCTGTTACCTTTTTTTTCATTGTATTTCAATGTATCTCGCCGTATTCTATGTATTTAATTATATTCATTATCTTTTTTTATTGTATTTCAATGTATCATGTATTTCATTGTATTCACTATCTTGCTATATTCCATGAATGTATCCATATGTTTTTTTTAATTAATATAATTTATGTATTTAAATGTATTATATAATTTCTCTGAAAATTGCTATGTTTTGGGGTGTTTTTAGATTGAGAATCTTTTTTATAACTGGAAATACAATTTTTGTGTGTTATAATTGAGTTTGAGTTATATTAGGAGTCTATTATGTTAATTGATTCACTTTCTGTTTAAAAACAACCGAATAGACCATGAATTGCGCTACTTAAATTATTTTATTCACAAATACATATCGTGAATACAATCGAATACAATAATTTGTCTAGCTGTAATCCCCTGTTTTACGCCGTGAATACAGTCGAATACAATAATCTGTCTAGCTGTAATCCCCTGTTTTACGCCGAGAAGTGCTACTATATTCATAAATATAGTAGCTTAAATACATCGAATACCCTCTAAAAAACCTGAAAACATAGCTATAGGAAGTAATATAGTAAATGGTAGCTACAACTAGCTAATAACCACTAAACAATAGTAACTTGTGAAAATTTCTCACTTAAATATAAAACAAAAAATATTTAAAACTTATGGTCATATTATAAAACTTGTATAGCTACAAGACTTTTGAAATTTATTGTTTTAAATATATTACAGAAAAGGGCTAACAATACCCCTAACGTATCGAAAATGGCTCAAAATACCCTCCGTTAACCTTTTGGTCCGCAAATGCCCCTAATGTTTGTTTTTAGGCTCAAACATACCCCTATATCTAACATAACTAACCTGGTCAATTTTTTGACTTTAACTTCGGCATGTGGCATTTTTTAACCCGTCACGTGTATTATTTGTCTTAAATAAAACCCACTTGTATCTTTTAAAATACCCGATGACTCTGACGTGCTCCTATATATTTTGACGGTTGGCCAAAATTAATTATATTCGCTAGTTAAATATATATAAAAAATATATTTTACATGATATTATTTTTAGGAGAAATTATATGGTGTAGTTTTCCCTATTAATTATGGAATAAATTACATTATATATCACTTGGGTCATACAACCCATTCGAAAATAGCCCACATTTGAAGTCCTTACCTGGTTTAGCCCAGGTTGTATATGTTTTGAAATTTTATTTTCACCTGGTAGCCCACAAATTTTATTAACGGTTTTCCCTTTTAATTTTTTTTCTCTGTCTTCTTCTCACGCTTTTCTCAAAGAAGTACGAAGGCAACTGCTCCTCCATTGTTGGGTTTCAAGTAATTTTTTGAGCTTTCACTCTTATTTTCAGGTAATTTTTATTTCATTTTATGCTTTTACCATAATTTTGGTTTATATTTTATTTTATTTTTAATCTTTTTGCTTTTCTGATTTTGATTTTTTTTTACAATGTTGTTGTGTTTTTCGTTCGATTTTGTGTTCTTTCTATCTTCGTTCTGGGCCTAAACTTGATGTTTCAGTTTGCATGCTTTGTTATTTCGACTCTTAGGGTAGAATTTTTTTTTTGAGTTTTGTTACAATTTGGGAAAATTGGCCTCTGCTTTGTGTTCATGGCCTTTATTTTTTATTTAATTTTTGTGTTTTCCTTCACTTGTCTTCACTTTTGTTAAAGCTTTGTTTGTTTTATTGTAGAAAATGAAATGAAAAATGTATGCTTCTAAAAGTCGTATGAAGCTTGATGGAAAAAGTGTTAAGCTTGATTTGCGAAAACATTGAGAGACTTGCCCTCAAGCCCTGATTCTGAAGCGAATGGGCATGTCCAGGCCCCCGATGATGATGATTTTGAGTCTCCTGCTCCCTTAAAAAAGTCGCAACAAGAGATCAGTCGAATTACCGTTCGCAAACGAAGAATACTCCTACTCCAGTGAAATCATTGAGGGACTTGCCCTCAATCTCTGATTCTGAAGCGAATGCGCATGTCCAAGCTCCCGATGATGATGATTTTGAGTCTCTTGCTCCTACAAAAAAGTCGCAACAAGAGAGCAGTCGAATGACTCGTTCGCAAACGAAGAATACTCCTACTCCGGTTGACATTTTTAGAATAAGAAGTAAGAAATGTGGGAGACGTCAAAAATCCAAAGAAAAGCTGAAAGTTGATTTGGTTAATGAAGATGATGTAGGCCCCAGTGTTAAACCGAAAAAGAGAAAGATCAAGGACGATGATGAGAGTGGTCTTGATTTCATATCTAAAGAACAAAGGATTGTTATTCGCCACAAATTGAATGAGAGAAAAGCTAAGCTGAAGGTATTCCCTGTGTTGCTATTAATTTTATACATGCTTATACAATTTCATATAAAGTTATACAACTGTTTATACATCTTTATACAAGTACTGCTACACTGATTTATACATGTCTATATAGTATTATAATATAGTTTTTGTTCCTGATTTCTTTCTTGTTATTTTTCCATATGCAAGGTTGGAGACTTCTATATACAACCAGTTGATCATTTCCATTATAGGATTAGTTCCCATACCGAGACCGATATTATCAGCATTTTGAAGCAATGTTTGGCTTACACGCAGCTTCAAATATTCCGCGCTAGTTATTTTGGGCACTTCTTGGACCTGCCTCAATTTAAAATTCAAAATCAACTTATTCATTGTATACTATTGAGGGAAGTCGTCCCAGGGCGGGAAAATGAGTTATGGGTTAGAATTGATGGTTGTTTTCTGCGTTTTGGCATTGGAGAGTTTGTTGTTATCACTGGTTTGAAGTGTGTAGAAGAAGACGCCACTTTCTATGACAAACCAGATGTCAATAAGCTGCTAAAAAAGTATTTTCTAGGAGATGAAAAAAGGCTATAATGAGGGGGCATCTTATAGATCGGTTCAAGAAAAAGGACTGGAAGTCGGACGAAGATGCGTTCAAGATGGCCTTGATGGTGTTTGTCCATTATTTCATATTCTCAGATGCCAATAATCATGGTATCAATGAAGATGATTTTGATATCATTGAAAGTGGTCAATATTAGACGTATGCTTGGGGAAAAGAGTCATTTGAAGATATTTTAAAGACAATGAGGGACAGACAATGTGACTATTTGACAATGTATAGGCTCAGAAGTTTGCCACTTGCGTTACAAATATGATTTTTTGAGTGTTG